CTTTAGAAAAGCTTTCGACCTCGTTGACCACCATATATTGGTCGCTAAGCTTCTGAGTCTTGGCGTGAAACCTACAGTTGTGAACTGGGTGTTATATTTTCTAAGGAGCAGACAGCAGAGGGTGAAACTAAATGGAGTGGTATCTGATTGGGTGGATGTTCCTGCTGGAGTGCCCCAGGGGACCCGTTTGGATCCATGGCTATTTCTGGCCATGATAACGATCTTCGTCTCCCAGAAGGGTTCCACATGTGCAAATTCATCGATGACACAACGATATCTGAAGTCGTTCCTGCCTCCAAACACAGCTCACCACAACAAGCGGCTGAGTACATCCACGATTGGTCTCAGGAAAATCATCTACAGCTAAATTCAACCAAGTGCAAAGGAGATCCGCACGTGCTTCAAGCGCACTCCCCTTGCTTCTGTCAGGTGTCAATAGAAGGAGTCGAGTTCGAAATGGTATCTTCAGCTAAAGTTCTTGGCGTTATCATAATAAATGGTCTGTACATATCGACTCAATCACGACTAAGGCTGCCAAGAGACTTTATCTCTCAAGACAACGTAAGCGCGCGGGTATTGCTCACAATGATCTTGTTAGATTTCATTGTAGCGTTATTAGATCAGTCCTAGAATATGCATGTCAGGTCTTTCATTGCTGTCTACCATTGTACCTCTGCGATGAAATTGAACGCATTCAGTATCGTGCGTTACGCGTAATCTTTCCGTAATCTTTCTACCGACCCTATACGATAGGAGGCGCACATTATGTAAAGCTCTATTCAATAAAATTGCGCATGGTAGCCACAAACTCAGCCATCTATTCCTATCACGTTCCCAGCTGATGTGCAACCTTAGATCTGGTCGCACCTTTACGGCACCCGTGTGCAAGACTAACAGATTAAGAGACAGTTTTGTTTTCAGCCACTGTGTGCACTATATATATATATATTTTTTTTTAAACATTCCTCTTATTGTATTGTACATATTCACGTGATTCAGTCGTTTGACTACAAGGTGTCTTTTTTAATAATAAACGAATAAATTCAAATATTTGATTGTGAGTGGAATTGGAATGCATGTATGGCACGCACATATTTCTTAGAAGCACGGTTCAAAGGCAAAGGTGCTCCGATGAAAGCAAAAACAGGCAAAAAAAATGGGGAGAAGGATGTAGTCAAGTACACCATGATATGTTCTGTAACGTTCAAGATGTTGTCAGATGAAGTTTGACAAATATCAAAAGCAGCTTAGTTGTGAGGCACATTTTAAATACTTATCATATAAACTGCGGTTTTCTCAGCCCTGAGAGAAGCCGTAACAACACACGTGATAAATTGCGGTATCTTTTTTGACGTGTTTGATATCACTGATCTTATTTTTTTCGGACGGTTGTTTGTTTTACAGAAGTGTGATGGCCACCTGACCATGAGCAGCCGTGTTGTAACATCATTCATACTCCTGACTGTTTCTAACGTTGTAGGGCCTCCCTAACCCCTTAGGAGTCATAAATACCATCTCCACTGCCTCTCCCAGAGTATCCTCATCCTCCACCTCCAGGGCACTTTCTTCCCGCTCCACCACCTCCTCCGAACCCACTATGGCTAGCCTGAATTCTAGATCTTCCACCACCCCTCTCTGAGAAAATTCCTTACCACCTTCTCCACCATTTCCCTCTTCTCCATCAAAATTGTTTGTACTTCTTCCTCTGGAGTAGAACCCGCCACCACCCCCCCCCCCCCCCCCCCCTTAAAAATAGTGATATACCGCCACCGGTTCGCCCATTGGCTCATTAACCCATGTTGTAATGGTAATGGAGAGTTCTTAGTGTAATCACATGGCTTTGCGGGAAGGTTATTTCTTTCGAATAGTGAATATAGGTGGGACTAGAGAAAAATAATTGTCAATGAGGGGGGTGGGGAGAGGGGGGGAGGCTCATAAGAATTTTACGGAGCCTTAGGAGAGGGATCAGGGAAATTTAATCGTGTTACAACTAATATCCTCGGACCTTCCCCCACTTCCCAGACGATGAGCAAGGGCTAGTCGTTCATTTGTACTTTGAAGACCCAGAATGTTTACTAAGGTTACATTGTTAATGACACCCGAATTAACTCAATAAAAAGAGACCTCTTTTCAGATGGTAAAGCCTATCTCCTTAAATAACATTCTTTTTATATCCACTCTCAAATATCTCAGTTTTTGCATACATTTTAAAATGCTGGGCCGCAAAAAAAAGCTTTTAAATTCCGAATTCTGA